ATTTATGCAGTGGCGCAAGTCAACATAGAGCCAAAGGAGGCCATGGCCCCCCAACATTTCTCTAATCCCTATATTTTTTTGTAAGGATCTAAAAAAATCGTGTATAATTACATTATCGCCCCCTCTCATAATTTTTTTAATGCATTCGGTCCCTGCAAACTTAAAATCCTGGCTCCGCTGGTGCATTTATGAATGATGTACATTATCTTGAGAGACTAAGCCAGGGGTTTTGCTTTCTAAAGTCTTGACATGTTGTCTTAATCACTTATTTCTGACATGTTGTCTTAATCACTTATTTCAGTTTAACCCTGAATTAGTTTGATTGTTTATGAATTAAATTCCTCTTTCGAGGAGATAAATCGGATTTTTTTGGGCGTACATATCTTATTGTTTTGAATAGTGATGATATATAAATTACGAGAAACCACATGAACTAAGGCTAGATTACAAAAAAAATCGTCACGTATTCGTAATTACCAGAAACCCTCTGAAGTTTCTTTCCGTCTTACATAGCCCCCTTACGGTGTTAACTTTGACATAATCCTTTTAATTCCATGGAAAATCCCCTCAACAAATGTCAGTTTTACTCTCATGGATAATTGTAATAATATTATTTCTAGAGGGGGTGATTGTAATATATTTTAATGGAATAAAATATAATCCTTTTGTCCTAGTTGTTATGTATGAGGGATTTTATTGCAATATTTTTCATTTAAGAGGGCGTTAAAATTGATCTTTTGGATGTTGGACCACAAGTACAAGTTGGGCGAAAACTGTTGAGTTCATCCGAAACACCTTTGAGACGCGTATAGTAAAACATTGATACATGTGTCTTCTTGAAAGATATTTGCCAGTTCACCACGTAATTAAAGCGTACGAGGTTCATTGCTATGTTGAAATCGCGTTTTGAGATCATCCCAAATTTCTTTCGCAGTTGTAGAGAGTAAAGAACACTTGCCTGTATTTCGTTTGATAATGAATTTAGGATCCTAGACAAAAACAACATTATTGTTGCGAATCCACGTGTCTAACAATATAGCATTATCAGATGCTATATTGTGAGAAAAAAATTAATTGTGAGAGAAAAATGAAATCGATCTAGCAAATCGGTTAAACAAATGGATGCGGAAGCGAAGAATGGGAATCAATATGTGAATCGATATCAAACTAATACCATATTGAATCTTAATTAACAGATAATTCGAGAAAGGATTTCATCGATATTGGCGAAAAACTACAGAGAGAATTATTGAAGAGAAATAATGAGAACAAGACGACTAATTAATATATAGTGAAGGCTGTATAACGGCTAACTAAAGTCGTGTTTGTCAGAACACGATTTTACAAGTAAAAACAAATAATGTTTAAAACTTTAAATACTCCAATATTTAGTTTACCTCTCTACTATTTGAGCTACAACCCAATTTTGGAAAAGTACATGTACTATATATATATATATATATATATATATATATATATATATATATATATATATATATATATATATATATGTGTGTGTGTGTGTGTGTGTGTTTTAAAAATTCAATTTGTTACAAATTGGAGTGATAAGTTTGGTTAATAAATGCATAATTAGTAAATAGGACTTAATAAATACAGATGAACTTAAAATAACCGGGTGTTTTTATGCTACACCGGGTGATTTTTTATGGTTGATCTGCATACACCGGGTCTATATTTATGTATATGAATGCTAAAGATCCCCCCTGTGTATTTCACCCGATGTAGCATAAAATAGACATGCAGTTTATTATTTTTTCTTTTACACGCATTTGATAAGTTTCATATACATATAAGCCCAAATTAGACAGCTAGCTACAACATACATCGTTTGAGGCAGCAATGCCATTTGACATTTCATAGGGAAAATAAATAAATATATAATTAAGTTGGAGATTAAAACTATATACTATGCCGCTGTTAGCCGGCAGCTGAGAATATTTCTTGTTGCACCATTTTCATCACTATAAATACACTAATTCATCAACTCCATTAATCATCTCCAATATAACTACTTCTAGCAAAAAACTATAAGTAACGTGATCAAGAAGCGAAAATCATAAAAGCAAATTCATCGACTTCGTTCCACAATGGCTTCGAGATCATCAGCTTTCTTGATTACGATGATAATCGCATTAGCTGTCGCTCCGGCGGCTTTTGCCACCGACTATATGGTTGGAGACAACTCCGGCTGGAAATTAGGCGTTAACTACACCACATGGGCCGAGGGCAAAAGCTTCCGTGTTGGTGACACCATCAGTATGTGTTTCTTCAATATTTTTTTCCTATTGCATTATAATTCTACTTTACTTATTCCAATTATAATACCCTTTCAAAATCGAAAGCTAAAAAAATTTATGATAAATTACGTACATCCCCTTGAGGTAAGGTAAAATTACCAAAAAAAAAAAAACCTTTTGTTTGGGTAATTACAACCATTTCTCAATTATGAATCTTCTTACACGTTCAGTGTGTTAAATTTAGTGGAATTTTCTAGATTCATAGTTGAGGGATGGTTGTAATTACCAAAACATGAGGGGTTTTTTCGCAATTTCACCTTACCTCAGCGGCTAAAAAAAAAACTCTATGGAATTTGTTGTTTTATTCTCTCAAAACCTAATATTAGTTATGGTTTTTTAATATTTGCTTTTGTTGCAGCGTTCATGTATGCACCTGGAGTTCACAATGTGATGAAAGTGAATGGAACTGATTTCCAAAAATGCGCTTCTTCAAATGAAACGGCGGTCCCACGTACGACCGGAAACGATGTGATTCCTCTAATGACACCTGGCAAGAAGTGGTATATTTGCACTATTGGTGAACATTGCTCCAAGGGGATGAAGCTCGTCATCACTGTATCGGCGGCCGAGGGGCCGTCACCCGCCCCATCTCCGGCGACTTCGGCCGCCACCGGTGCTGAAGTCTCTGCCTCGAGAACTACTTGCATGTGGATGCTTGCAGTCATGGCCGCCTATAAGATGATCATGGCTTAATTAAGTAATTGTGAGGGTGCCGGGTTTTTTTTTCGAAATAAAAATGAGGGTTGATTTTGTGTGTTTGTTCGATTCGGAATAATCTATATAAGATAATTTCGGAATTTTTCGTTTAATTTATTCGTTTATTTAAAGATCGATCGATCATGATACAAACACTTAATCCAATTTATGATTTTGGTCTATAATTAGCATGTGGAAAATTGCATTTATAGTCCCACAATTCAGAAGTGTGTGAATTCTTGGAGTTATGCCTAAAGCAAAAAATACAAAATAACTTAGGGTAAACTACATTTTCTCCGCCTATACTATGACTTGTGTAGCATTTACCCCTATACTAATGAAAAATACAAAATAGCCCATACGTTTAGCATTCAATTGTTAGATCCTGTTAAGTTCTTAAAAACATCTTATAAGATATTTAAGAATTTATAAGCTATTAAAAGGTGTTCGGTAAACAAAGTTTCAACATATTTTAGTTTTTTTTAAATAAGATGGTAGGGAGCTTTTAATATGTTTTTAATAAAGTACATTTATTCCATATTTTTTATATAAGATCTTGTTTCCCATTTCTAAAACATTTAAAATATAATAGAACTTTAAGATATAGGTCCCTGGTAACAAAACTTATTAGAACTAAATGACAAGTCCAACTAAACATTTGCTTCACACCCTTTATAAAATTCATTCAAAAAATACTCCTCCACTCAGTATTAAGTAAATTCAAACTGCATTTATCATTTTTTTTTCATTAAAACTTTCATTTTTCCATCTAACTTTTTTAATTATTTGTTTTACAGAATACCATTTTGTTTTTCGTTTTTTGTTTCTTTCTTCATTTCAAAAAATTGTACAATTTTATAAAAAAAATTTTTTTTTATACATAATATTGAAATTCACAAAAAAAAAAACAAGAACATGTTTTTTTTTTTTTCATTTTTTTAATTCAATTTACATACTTTTTAATTTTTAATTTATTTTTATTTTTCTTCTATCAATAAATATAGTCATTTTTAGTCATCGTAGTTGCTATCTTCGTTTGTAGACATCTAAAACTTGAATTTCACTTCATCGAACATCCTCTATATGTTCACAATCTGTAGTAGACTGTGGTGTACTATGGTATCCTCTATATATTCATAGTCTGCAGTAGACTATAGTATACTACGGTATAATATGGTATACTACGATGTCTATTCCAAACCCTAGCCGCCAACCCTAGTAGTCAAAGCAACCTCTACCCAAACCCTAGCAGCCAAAAGTCGCAGCCATCGCAACCGTAGTCACCTACCCCCTTTTGAAAAATATAGATCTGCAACAAATCAAAGACAATAACAAATCATATTCAAACCAAGAAAAAACTTTTACTTCAAGAAAATCAAATCCAATTAGTCAAAATATGTTTGCAATTACATATCTTTATAAAAAAATGAAGAAAATCGATTTGTTTATTTATTTTCATTACCAAATCATTATAAAACAAAAAAGTAGAGAAATACTTGCTCCCTCTGCCGCACGATCCCCGCCGCACAACCCCGCCGCAAAGCCCTTTGCAACCACCGCCTTCCACCACTGCTTACGATAGACCTGCTCCTGCTCATGCTCTCTTTGTGGCCGCCGGCGGCGGCCTTCATGCATGGAGAAAGGAAGAGACAGATTCGTGGAGAAAGGAAGAGAGAGATAGAGAGGTGACAAAGAGAGAAAAAACGAGAGAGAAAGAGGGAAGAAGAGGAAACGCAAGAGAGAGATGGAGAGAGAAAGCGTGGATAAAATATGAAAATAAGAGAAATAAATCTGAATTAAAGAAACGTGAATATGTAAGTTATAAGATTTATAGTATAAGGGCAATATAGGAATTAAAAACTTTGGGATGTTGCTCATATATTATTTTAAACTAAGAATGTAATTACAAGATTTGATTTGAACTTGTCATTAGGTTTGATTTAAGGTACTCATATCATATTACCCCAATATAATATTACACTAAAATAACTTGTAAGCTTCATATCAAAACACTTTAAAATTTAATTTTTAAAATAAAACCTAAGACTTTTTTTTTTTTATTTTTTTTTTTTTATTTCAACTTTAAAGCATCAAATAAATCATTTTGGTCCAAAAAAGGATCCTCTCCACTGCAATACAACATAAAGAGTTTCTCATAGTAATCCACTGCAAGAATTCGACATTTGCTAATAGCATCGGGAAATTCTCGTTTTACTTCCGAGACCGATTTCTTCAATCTAAGCTCCGAATCCCCATCAATCAAATACTCCGCCAAATCACGTCCCCTCATAGTCTCGAAGCGATGAAGTAATCCTCGGGTGGTAGATTCCGTCGCAGAAACTTGCTTTCGATAAAGTGCGCACACGGCTTTCATACAAAGCTCGTCATCCTTATCAAAGGCCTCGAGCATGTGGGCCCCACTCATCCACGTTTTTCTTGGATTAGTCTTTACTCGAGAAAATGAATGTGTGTTGTGAGCTGATTCTCGATTTTCGTCACTAATCTTGCTTTTCCTCTTCTTTCGTGCTGTGACAGAAACCTCTTCCGAACAATCTGTTTTTCCCTTCTGTTTATTTGTCCGATCAGAATTCGCCCTCTTTGCAAAGTTCTCGAAAAAAACTTCTGCGACATCATCACAATCGAAGATTTCGATGACATCATCTCTTGCCAAGCCAGTATTATTATTCTCTTCACCACCACCCTCGTTCGTTCGATTCACTATCCCATCGATCTTCACATTCAACAACTTCCCTAATCCGACTGCCAAAGGCACCAAATCCTCAAACTTCCTTTTCAAGACTCGAGCATCTCTATCAACGACAACATTTTGTCGCTTTAAATCCTCAACAATTTTCCTTAGTTCCTTCACCGTACAATCAGCTTCCGACAATTTCTTATTACATGTTTTCTTGTGCACTTCGCAAGCCAATAACTCCCGCCCCAAATGCTCCACCGTCCGCGAAGCCTCCAAATTTTGTCGCCTCAATTCCGTCACTAAATTATCGCTTTCCGATTGCTTCCGACCGATTTCCCTCACTGTTTCGACGTACCTCACAACGTGTTCTTCGGCAGCCATCTTTTGTTCACTCAGTTGTTCTATAGTCACGCAAGCCTCCCTATTCTTCGCCCGTAACCCCTCGATGATTTGATCGGCTTCCAATTTCTGTCGCTTCAATTCCTCAACCTCTTTCTTCGTTTCCTTAAGCTTCTCATGTAGCTCGGATATTTTGACATTCTTTTCGTTTATAACCCTAGTTTGCTTTTCCACACAAACCTTGGCATAAACTTCCTCTGTCTTTATTCTTACACTACTGTCTGAAAAATTATCAACCCTAGTTAAGCCGGCCGTCTCGAGATTTTCCGTTTTGATTTTGAGACGAGTCTTTTCAAGATCCATTAGTATATTCCGAACCTAGTAAAACGAAACAAAATTCACGAGAGGAAAGCCGAATGTGCTTGATCAAGGAGTTTGTTCAAGAAATAACATTTTCATGTGTGAGATGTGTTTCATATTGTCACTTTAATTTTTCTGTTTTTAAAGTGAGAAAAAAGTAAATTAAATTAAAGTTGTCTCTTTATCGATATTCACACTTCTTTTCTTCATTCTATCTTGTTTTAAAATTCACGTAGTACTATCTAATCAATGATTCCAATCATGGTCAAGACTTCAATAGTGTCGTTCCTTCTTTTAATGTTAAAAGCACAAACACAAAATTTTCGTACACTTGAAAGAAATTCTCATAATGTACTGACTTTTTATTAATGTACTGACTTTTTAATGTTAATTAGAATACGGAAAAAAATACATTTTTCATCCCTCAAATTTGTGCAATGTCACATTTAGTCATTCATATTAACAAAGAACACATTTAATTTGGTCCCTCGCGTTTTAAAAATTCAAAAGTTTTAGTCCTTTCCGACAATTTTCAGTTAGTACTAACGAATCAAGTGTGTGGTCATGACTGCCTTAACAAACGACTGACGAACTAACGGTAAATTGACGAAAATGACCAAAATTGTTAAATTATTGAAACATGAGGGATTAAATGTATTTTTTATGAACATGGGAGACCAATTGCAAAATCGGTGTAAATTTTGAGGGGTGAAACTGTAGGCATTTGTCCAGTGCTCCACGGTGTCACACCTTCGTCATCTGGACAGCCCTAAAAAATCCTAATGGTATTCTATAATTATTTATTTTTAATATTTTTTCTCTACGAATTCCTAACTATAATTTTTAACAATTATCAAAATTAAAACTAACCCGTGAAGAATTCTACCTTATTGCTACTTATGTAATTATTTATTTTTAATATTTTTTATGTACTAATTTATTAACTATAATTTTCAGCAACCCAAAAAACTAAAAAACCCTATTGAATTTCTGCAATTATTTATTTTTAATATTTTTTCTCTACGAATTCCTAACTATAATTTTTAACAATTATCAAAATTAAAAACTAACCCGTGAAGAATTCTACCTTATTGCTACTTGTGTAATTATTTATTTTTAATATTTTTTATGTACTAATTTTTTAACTATCATTTTTAACAATTATTGATCTCCTAATTTTCATCAATATATCTCAAATTTTAAGAGATAAAGCAAGTAATTCAATATGAATAATACTACATTATTAAATTTTATTATATTAGTGTACTATATTTTCTTATAATGTATTAAATTGATTATTTTTTTCACTATTTAAATAATATCTCGTGCATCGCATGGGGGAAAAATGCTAGTACTGTTAAAAAAGAAACAACAATTGTATCACTCCAATGTTAGTACTTTTATGTTTTTTTTTTCTTCTAATTTTAGCTCTCTTTTCTTCCTCAACAAAATTTGGTTTTTAGTAAACCGTTAATGATGTGAAGAACTTCCAAGAATATCATAAATAATATCGCTTTATTTTCAAATTTATTTCAAAAAATATATTTATTTCAACACCTTCAAGAACTTTTTTTGAAATGTTCATTGAACATTGTAAACCCTT